ATTTCTTATTAGTAAGAGAGATGAAGAAGTGTATAGCGGGGTTACTCTGGTGATGTACACGCTGAGAAGTGTCTCAGGAACGCGGATTTAATGGGGATTCATCGTTATTGACAAACAGCTAATGGGTGAATCCGTTGAAGGTCACTGCATGAATTTACAAAGTATTATTTATAGCCATCAACACGACCAACCTCTCTAAAATTCTGCTTTATTAAACTTTACCCAATGAAGGTTCTCCTGCCTGAGTTACCTGAGCAGTAGAACAAAGTCTCTGATTTATGATAGGAGTTCAGTGTACCTTTACTCGATGCACAAGAGGACAGTGTGGCCAGCACTGCACTTGACCGTCTCCGCTTCTCCAACTGGTAAGTTAGGTACCAACTGACAGCTGAGTGGGCTGGGGATGCCCCAGGGGCAAAGCAGCGAACCTTATAACATATAGAAGCATTGTATCCATTCGGCTGCATCACCCATTAACATTTAAAATCATTCATAGAAAGAAAATAATTATTTTCATATTTTTCTGAGAAATCAACATACGCGTTTTAAATAAGCAAAGCCTTGTCATTCCTAGTTAAAACTGTACATCAGGGTACACCGTTGTACAGTTTATACAGTACGTCGCCCTAAACGGAATACTGGGCGCGGAAACCTTGGGTTCATTAAACCACAATTTAGGTAGGTAGTAATCACGCAGTGCAGCATACACGCACACTGGCCTCAGAGGTGAAACTCCTGTGTACGGCCTTAGTGTCCTCGACCTTACGCAGAATGACGCAATGCCTGCAATAGTATCCGGCCATTGACAAAATTTGATTGTTCTAGTGTGACTGACCAGGAAAGTGTATGTTTGACATTTAATTTGTAGTGAAGCGTGATTTGTCGAAATATGTACTAAATGCTTAACTTGTACAGTCAGTAGTACTGTGAATAAATTACGTCATTTTGGTGAAAGGTTGAAATAATTGTAAAACTTAAATTAGTAAAGTTCACAGTAAAATATGCTTATTTTCTTAATGTCGCAGCTGACTGGAAAACTAGTTCGCCTCAGAGGGTGTTGTGTCGCACGTGACATAAGCGTGGTTCTCGTGAAGCTGGAGGTCAATATTATGGCCACATGGCTGATGCAACAATTGGGGAAGAGCTACCAGACGGGGCTCCCGCCCCGTTACTCCGCACTACTCCCACCCTTCACTTTCAGTTTATGAATTTAGGCCACGATTTAATTATAGTTTATTTCAAGATGCTAATTTGAATATTTTTCATTCAAATTTTAACATTGGAGTATTTATATCATGCAATACACCGGCGGAACACTGAACTTCTCTCGCCTGGACAATGTGAGCAACAACATCCGAAAATTATTCTGGAAATGATGTTTCTTTTAAAGTCGAGTTTTCACTCATCTCAGCTTTAATATATATTTACTATTTTATTGGGAATATATCTGGTTTAAAGGAGGGTGTCTTGGTAGAAGATAATATATTTTTTCTTCAGAACTTGTATATTATGGTCCCACCTGACCGTCGTAGAGGGAACTTAAGGGGTGTGCAGCTGTTGTTTAACTCCACCTGACACTTTTCGTAGATTTAAAGTATCTTGCTCAGTAAAATATTGGCAGTGTAAACAGAGTTTCCACTGTTTTGGTGATATTGTAATTTTTTTCTATTTTGTCAACCTTTTCCATTATGAGTAATCTCATCCAGTTTGTCAGTGACCCAGCATGAATTCATGCTCGAGACGGTCAGTTGATTAAAAATGCCCAAAGGTGCCTGCACTACGGCACCTCAGTTACCCTGATATAGAACGCCTGGAGTTGCCTAGCTTATCCTATAAGTGGACAAGGGTGACCTAATTGAAGTTTATAAACACCTCCGTGGACATTACTCAACCGAGTGCCCATACCTCGAGCTGGCGGATACCCGCCCCATTAGAGGTCACAGCTTAAGGTTGATGAAGTCACAAGTTCAGAAAACTTTTTCGGAGGGAGTGAGAGTTGTTAACTCTTGGAGCAATCTACCAGAGAGTGTTGTGGCGGCACCGAGTGAGAGTTGGTTTTCCGGCATCTTCGTGGTGTAGATTAATATAGTCTTTTTACTCTTATATTTTCGGCCCCCAGGCCCCGTTGTGGGTCGATGACCTGTGCCAGGGTGGGCTAATCCCCGTAAAAAAAATAAAAATAAAATAAAATAAAATCATTCTGGAGCCAGCAACTTTTTTGGAGTGAGAGTTGTGAACTCTTGGAACAATCTGCCAGAGAGTGTTGTGACGGCACCGAGTGTGAGCTCTTTCAAGATCAGACTTGACAAGCACATTCAGGAGCCAGTACATGCCAGCACTTGCCAACAGTGCGTAACAGAGACGTGACCGATCGCCCAAGCGGCTAACGAGCCGATCAGTGGTGGAGAGGATAAAAGTAAAGTACATACTCAGTACTTGCCAACAGTGCGCAACAGAGACATGACCGACCGCCCAAGCGGCGAAAAAGATAAAAGTAAAAGTAAAGAAGTGAAACAGTCGTGGTTAGGAGAGGGTACACAGATGTGTTGTGTGCGGTAAGAATAAAAGGAACAATAGAGATCTAAGGTTTCATTACACCCACAGGACAGAGAAAAGTCATGAATATATTACCTATTATATAGTGTACAATAATGATTAATTTAGAATAAAAAATTCTTAAGTTAAATATTAATAGTCATTGACATCATCGCTGTCTGGGTTAAAAAACACTTGTCCACTGAATACGCCAAATCGTGTTTCCCCCTTAATGGTTTGTTAAAGTTTTTAACATAGATGTAATTGGTTTACATGAACCTTACACGGCTCAGCACCCAGAAGAAAGTTGTACCCAGGATAGCTGGGTTTACAGCATACAATAGTGAAGCAGGAAGTGGCCTGCTCACTTATGTAAAGAATGGTCGGGTCTATAAATGGATCAAAACCCTCATTGATGAAAGTATTCACTATCAACAATTTACAGTAAAGACAGCAAACAGTCAATTTTCGCTGCATAACATCTATGTTCGGTGTAATGAGCTGCGAGCGGACGTGTTACCAAAGCCATCAGGTAACAATGCTATGTTGTGTATGGGTGACTTTCACTCTCGTCACACTGTCCTCGGTGATGTCCAATGTAACTCTAATGGGAGGGTGTTCGTGAATTACATCAATAATCATAATATCACTGTATACGACACAGACAAGGTGACACATCTGGTGAGGGGCAGACTTGATTATGTGATTGGGTATAACCTAGTAGACAGTAATGTCAAGGCTAAGGTCATCTCAGACCACCTAGTCAGTGATCATTATGCATTACTTACTGAATGCACTGTTGCTGATGTCAAGTGTGAACCCCATCCTAAGCTCAGAATAATTAACATTCCAGATAATCTTAAAGTGCACTTCAAGGCCTACATCCACAGATGGTATGCTGGATATACACCTGGGTCAGTGGATGAATTTTGCTGTGATCTTGCAAATGTCATTACCACATATTTTACCACCTGGGTTAAGTCAAGGAGGAAGGGTGGGGGGCAGCACTAAACCACCTCTGTGGACACATAACCCCCACCCTCATCAAAGAAGGAGAGAAGGTAGAACAGCTTACCAACACTTATAAGCAAAATATAACTAGTGATAACCTCCTGGCATTCCATAAAGCTAACAGAGGTTTTTGTGAGCCCAAAGGTGAGGTGAGAAACACCTATTGGGAACAATTCTTACAGGGGATTAATAGAACAACCACTCTAGCAGAAGTGTGGAACAAAATTAGAGCCATTACCAAGTCACCACCCCAGTCCAACTTATCACAGCCCTGCAGAATATGCTGACATGCTATTAGACCAATGGTCTAGTGTGTCACAAATCACTGCCCTGCCTCCTGACATACAGCAATATCTTAACACCACACACATTAATAGGGGTTTCAATATTGAAATCGCCTGTTCCTCACCAGACCTTACCGACCAGTTTCCTGTAACTCGCCATGAACTAACAACAGCACTAATCAAAGGTGAATCATCTTCCCCTGGTGAGGCTGGCATAACCTATAACACCCTGAGATTGTTAAATGAGGTTCCTAACCACCCACTGCTTGACCTATATCAAATGAGCCTCACACAAGGTATTCTGCCTAAGACATGGACTCAAGGAAATATAGTACCAATCCCTAAAGAGGTACCGGTATGACCAGCAGAAGGACAGAACCACACAATGTGATATAGTTGTGGCCAGAATTAGGCTAGGATACAGACACATCTGGCAAGTTAGTAACGCTATACCCATACCGGAACACTCAGCATGTAAACTTTGTAATAAACCTTTAAAGCATACACTTGAACACTATGTTATTTAATGTGACACTGTCAAAGATTTCAGACCACCTGGCTTATTGTATCACGAACTTTGTAATTACTACATTGAATCAGGGGTGCTTGAGGACATTCTTGCTGTTTATCCAAAAATTTCTAGTCCACACTGATTAGTCTTCAATTAAAATATGACGTCCAATGTATATGAACCACTGTCCTGCATGGCAGTGAACAGTGACATCACCCACATGACTCTGTATATACTGCTAATGAATATGATGTAGTTATTTGTGTATGAACCTGTCCTGAATGGCAGTGAACAGTGACATCACCCACATATGACTGACCTATATGAATAAGATCTATTCCTTAGTGTATGAACCTCTGTCATGCGTGGCAGTGAGAAGTGATACCACCCTCAGTGTCAAGACCTGACTGAATTACTCAGAATAGGCAAACTGTACTTCAAGCTTTGTCAATAAATTTGTTAAACTAACTAAACTATCCCTTAAAAGAGAATAGGCAAACTGTACTCCAAGCTTTGTCAATAATTTTTTTAAACTAACTAAACTATCCCTTAAAAGAGAAAGAAAATTTCGTTTTCTTTGTTAGGGACGACAGGGGATTGGCCACTACTACCCACTAGGGAGACACGGTTCCTCCTATATACTTTCCTTGGACGTGACCGACCGTCCAAGCGGCTAACGAGCTGCCGAAGATAAAGGTAAAAGCTTAAAACGGCTCAAAGCTTTTGGAGGATCCGTCATCTTTGTTATTATTTTATTCAGAGCGACGACGACATGAGATTTTGCATTTTTGGCTCAGTGTGATATCTCCTTTTAGCTTTCACTGAAGTTTGGAATCATAATTATTTCTTAGAAACTTATTAAGATCTTTTCAAAGAAAATTGGCGATCCATTTCTTATTACACTAAACTGTTTTACATTTCCATTCTTAATTTCAGATATCAAAGTTACACACTACAATGTAATCTCAGCAATACGTACATCTGGCCGATGGAAAAGAGATAATGAAGTACAAGCTCAATACTGAATTTTCAATTAGAGCCAATTTTCACATATTCATTACACATTATTCAAAGATAGAAGTTAAAAGGAGAAAAATTAATTCTTGGCTATTACGCTACCTTTATCCTTAGAAATATGAATCCAATTATCTCGGTAAAAAAGTTCGGGGCTCAGGCTTCAGTCAGCAGTGGGTGAAATACCTGCGAGTCGTGCCGTTGTCATTCAGTCACAGCGAGTCGGGGACACAACATACAAATTACGTAATGGTTACCAGCACCTGCAGGTTCTCTCTCAGGTGGCTCACAGAGTCCTCTGTCAGGACAATGGCGTCTGTCAGGAAGATGTCCAACTTGATGGAACCTTCAAGCGTTGTCCACGACCACCACAATATGGAATTTTACATCAAGTTGGGGAGAAGTACGTCACATTTTCTCAGTATTTACACATTTGTGTCTGTGCTTACAGTACTTAATTTGGTGAAAATGGTAAAGGTCTTATTGATCTTAAATTTCACCCTGAGTTTTAGAAAAATACATGTTAAAGGTGTTATTTAGGCTTATGTCATTAACAGTGGTTTGTTTTCTTTAATGGATAGAGTGCAAATTCAGTGTGGAAGTGGAGCTTTGATATTTGTTATGCAGTGATAGGTATGTTGTAGCCTCTGGGTTTTTGGTTTCTCCTGAATGTTGCAAAAAGTAAAAGATTATGGTAAATATTTGTCCATTGGCTTTCCTCATGTTTTGGTATGAGAATAGTTTTTTTTTATGCTTTTCTGTGTGTATTACTCAAAACTGACCTTTTCTTTTGCAAATTAGCGGTTTTTGCAAAAAAAAAAAAATTAAATTTTTAACAAACGGCTAATTTGCACAAAAATGGAGGTAAAATTTTAGTATTACACGCCGAAAATACACAAAAAGCCTACCGTATTCTCATACCAGAGGATCCATCTTACCTAACCTAACCTAACATAACCTACAAGGAGGAGGAGGTAAGGAAGGAAACTGACTCTTAAGTGGAGTATAATTTCAGGTAAACATGGTGGGAACTTGCGGGACAGCCAGTGAACGGATATTAACCGCACAGTGGCTCAGTCCTGCGAGGATCAGATGAGGTACACTAAGTAGACAGATAGAGGTAAACCTGTATTTATTCAGTGCAAATCACGAGTGCTTATGGTGACATTCGACGAGACTGGGAACTTTCCAAAGTATCCGATACTGAGATTGCATATAATGTAACTTATCATTCATCAAATGGACCAAACTAATCTATGTAACCTAACCTAAATAAAGGGTAAATTTTACTTTCTATTGTTCATAAAATTAACCAAACTCACTTAGCTAATCTAATCTAAACTAAACTACCTAACCTAAACTTGCCTGCCTTGACTTAAGTTTCACCTAACATTAAAAATTACCTAACCTAACTGGGGGCTCTGCCCCCTGGAACCCCCAGCATATAAAATTCGTTTGCAAGAAAAATGTCTTAGAATTGTGTAAACTATTGATTGCAAAGATACAATTCCTATGATTCCCATGATGTTCAAAAGTAATATATTACCTAATATAATAATGCTTAAGTGAAGCTAAGTTTAGGTAGGGGAGTTTAGGTTAAGTAGGTTAGTTTAGATAAGGTGTATAATGTAGCTGTACACTACAGTATCTGATTTTTCGCAAGGTTCACAATTTTGCAAGATGTCAACAAAGACGCTCGTGATTTTACTCCCATCAAATACAAAATTACCTCAAACTGTCGATTTCATGTTGCTGATGATTGGTGAAATGGTAAATACAAGATTATCCAGATTGAGATCTAAACAAGTTTGGTAATCTTATATTTAACTGGCATAAAATCACAAGTGTTTTTTTTTTTTCCCATTTGCCAGGTCTGGGAACTTCTTGAAGTACTGCACCAGTTACTGCTACATTATAAAATTTATCATTAAAAAATGAACCAAACTAACCTAACCTAACTACTGTCCTTACCTACCTACCTACTTAAACTTGAGCTTCAACTAAACATTATTATACTATTTGGATTAGGTTAGGGAGAATAGTTTGGTCCATTGTATGAACAATAAATTGTGAATGCCAATAGTGCATAACAGATGTGACTGACTGCCTAAGCAGCTAATGAGCCGATCAGTGGCGAAGAAGGTAAAGTTAAGTATATTATGTTGCAGTATCTGAGACTTTGGAAAGTTCCCAGTTCATAGAATAAATCAAACTAACGTACCTAAATATGATTATGTAATTTTCCTCCTTCAGGATTCGAAGATAACATGTAACTGGTGGTCTGCAGTGATCCAACCAAAACATTTGACCAGCAGCACTAACAATGGAATAACTCAACTGTTATCTTGTTTTTTTATACAAAATAGATGATAACTCGTATTTTTGGTTAGGCTAGGTCAGTGTGGTTCATTTTATGACCAATACATTATATACTTAGCATTATATCTGGGACTTCAGAAAATTCAAAGACTCGGTGCTATTTACAGTACAGTATTGCATATGTTTATTAGTTTTCTTATTCTTTTTTTCAGATAAGGCATTCCTACAGTACGATATCATGGATACAGCAACTAAAGCTGTAGACCTTCAGCATACTGTTGTTCCTGAAGCATTTAGGGGTCAAGGCATTGGTAAAGTTCTTGCAAAGGTAAAAGGGACTGATATTTATATTGTAATTCATGTAAATGCAGCTACCTATATTATATAAGGAAAAATATTTTTCAGAAACATGTAGTTTTCAGATGAATTGGAGAGAAGCCTAGTGGAGAAAACTAATTTTTTTGGAAAGCTGACACATTTAAAAAAGTTTTCATTTATTTATTTATTTAATTTTTTTTTTATATACTGTATTTGTTTTTACAGGATTAGCCCACCAGGGCACAGGTCAATGACCTACATCAGGGCCTGGGGGCGAAATTATAATAATAATAATAATAATAATAATAATAATAATAAAGGACCAAAAATAAATGTAATTTTTTTAAAAAAGATAAACAGTGAGAAACAAAATATGTACAGGGGTATGTTGTGTTGTCAAAGTAAGAGAAACAATTGAGACCCTGCAATTGTGTGCAAATGAGGCAGAAAGTCAGATCAGCAACCTGGGACTTGGTAAAAAATTTTGTGATGCCATATGGCAGCAGGGTCTACCATTAGATAACACATTATGCTTCCAATATCTTCCCAGGCGGTACAGTAGTACCTCCCTGTTTGATAGCTGCCTATGACATACAGTACTACCAACGAAAACACATTTATACATTTAAAAAATGGGGATATGAATTGCACATTTATATTCTTGGAATATCATATACTGTACATGTATAAAGTACTGTATATCATGAAGTTACACATGTACAGTATAGTACTGACCTTGTTTAAGAGATGTTTCAGGTTCTGGTCACCTTGGCACCTGGTTTCATTCAATTTCTCACCTGTACTGAGTGAACATGGGCTCATGTGCTTTTCTTCCTGCTACTAGCATTAGAAACTTTCAGGGTTTGCATTATTAATCACTCATAAGTGATAACACCAAATTTCCACTTTTTAGTTAATTTACTAATACTCTTTTTAAAACCTGAAGACTTATAATGGTAGCAGTAAATCAACATTTCCTGAAATATGGCCTCCAGAAGAACTATAAATGTTTTTTAATGTTGATTTAATAATAAAATAAAATAAATTCAAGAAAGGCTACAAGGCTCATTGTATGAGCAAGTGAAATGCCTGATGAATACAGTACAGTATTACTAAGTTCCACGGCTATGGTTAACCCTTTATGTTCGGGGATTGCCCTGTGCTGAATAAGATCATCTGGTGTTAGCCAAATAAAATATTAAAAATGGAGTCCCATAGTAGAAATGTAACCCATGAGATTGGTGGAGTTGTCAAGACATATAGCGTACAGCCTGTGGTGACACTTTCATAGTGGTAGAAGAATATGGAAGATCCTTTTTAGCTACTAAAATGTTGAAATTAATTTATAATTAGATTTAATTGAGAAGAAGTTATTGAAGAAATGTTTGTGTCCTTTGATTTAATTTACTCTGAGTATAGTATTGGTTAACCATTGATATAAATTTAGTTATAGTCTTTATTAGATTTGTTTAGTTGCATCTTATGTTTTCATATTGTATTGCTGTTTTACTTTCAGAATTTTTCTTCCGAAGGTTGAGGTACTTGCTTCAAGGTAGGAATGGTGTAAAGTTGATAAATAATAATTTAATGAGAGTAATTTTATTTTTGTTGCAGGCAGCATTTGAGCACTTCATAGCAAATAATCAACAGATGAAGCTGACATGTTGGTATCTTAAAAAATACTACCAGGAGAACCCTCTTCCACAGTACCAAGAGAAAGTGTTGATGGAGTGACAAAAATTTTCGTAAACTGTACATGCATACAGTATACAGTACTATGTTAAGGTTTTAACTGTTGTTCAAGTTAACAAAGGTACAGGTATGTGATCAATATTTTAGTCGATGTAACTGAATGTTGCTACTGATTTTATAAGTAAAGTTTGTGCGTGCATATTTCAACTGCCTCACCTAAATATATCACTTATTAGGTTGTGGCACACTAGAGATTCTTAGCATATATACCAACCAGGTGTCATAGATGAATGGCCAAAGAATGAAGACAATATAGCAGTGAATTACATTGTAGTTTATAATAAACTGTACAGCATATCAGCAACTTGTTGGTATTCACTTACTGTAATAGCTTTTACCAAATATATCGGTATATTTTTTGTACTGTACACAATATATTTATAATAAATGATTGTGATGAATTGTTCTTTTATTTATTACTAATGCTGGTTATACTGTATAGCGTTTCATCTCATAATTTTTAATTGTTGTTGGACTAACCATGTTATGAGCTCAAAGACTGTAGTAGTTGAAGCCCAGTAATACACTAATGTCAAATACCAGTATTCTAGAACAAATGGCTGCATTTTGGGTCTTATCACTATCACTTTTTACTTTTATCCTCTTCACCACTGATTGGCTCGTTAGCTGCTTGGGCGATTGGTCACGTCTCTGTTACTTTTCTTTTTCTTTTATCCTCTTCACCAATTGATCGGCTCGTTAGCCTCTTGGGCGATCGGTCACGTCTCTGTTACGCACTGTTGGCAAGTACTGGGCATGCACCGGCTCCTGAATGTACCTGAACCTGCTCCAGTGTTGGTCAAGTCTGGTCTTAAAAGAGCTCACACTCGGTCACAACATGAAGGATTACTCTCAACAAATAGTTGTCAGGGCAATACATCCTCTGTTTAAGCTGCTCTTTTAAGGCCAAAAATTTATGTATTGTACAAGGAAGACCTCTCTAAGTTGGACTTCTGTATATGGGGCTCAGGGCTGTCTGACTTATGTTTACCCCCCTTCTGGGTGCTTGTAACCATCATTTTGCTGAAAAATCCTTTCCAAAAACAAAATTAAAATCAACAGTACACATTTACACTGCACTGCACTCTTATTGTAGATGAATCGTGAGGTGGAGGGTGGTGGGGCTGCATACCTATAGTGGGTGGCCATTAGGTAAATAAGGTAAATTTCCTGTCCACGCTCTTGCATCAGTCATTTGGGGGACAGCCTCACCCATGCGTGATGTCCATCATATCCACAGACTATAGAAAACGGCACTGCATTTAGGGGTGACTGCTGTAACGACTTCAATGTTTATAGAAATTTTGTTATAGTGCAGCCTAAGTTTTCGTAACTTAGATGACTTGGGAATCCCAGTCACCCCTCTTGGAGGAGTGCTAGTTGGGGTTCTCTTGTGCCCGTGCACATGAGAGGCACAGTCCACTAAAATTATTTGTATTAAAAATTACTTCTTTTTTAATGAAGCAGCCACTCTTTTTTCCCTTTAATCTTACACATTTTTTTTTAAATAAATGTTTTTAAAGAAATAAATCTTGGATTTTTTTGTGATATTATAAAGACAAATATTCAATATTTGAAATTAGGGAAACAATTTCAGTAGGTAAGAGTTGTTTTGTTTACGTTGCCCAGCTGGCAGATGTTGGTGTCATGGCCGCCACAAACGTCACTTTTCGATGGCTCGATATACTGGAGAAGGAATTCGACAAGGCCTTCGTTGACCTTGATCTACTGATAGGTGAGGGAGAGTTTCATAACTGGCAATTCGAGCGATTGTCTTATCTAATGTAAAGATTCATTGGATCGTCAAGAATATTTTGTGGCTCGGGCAAGAATGTTGTCACGTCATGTGACTTTAACCCCTCCACTACTGGACATCACTTGTGTAGTTTTATTTGGCTGACACCAGACGATTTTATTCAGCACAGAGAGTCACTTTGTACCCAAGGGGTGGGGCTAAGCCTATGGTCAAGTGATGTTGACACGTGGAACATTTGTTATATACAGGTATTCTGTAATTCTCTGGAACTTTGGTAGAACTTGATAAACACTTATTGTTGGAGAAAAATATGTCATTCGGGATGTACAGTATGTTGAGGAAAGAAACACAGTAGTGGAGCATAGGCGTTGATATAATTTGTTCATATTTTCCATAGTTACAGTTTGGATGATACAGTAACTAATAAAAACGGTATGACCAACTTTTTCCTTTAATACATTTTTTTATTTTAATTATTTCTTCGTTTTCCTCTATGATCATATATCACTTGTATTGGGCAAGGCATTAAAGTTGAGGGATAATATGGGGTAAAACACTGCAAAAAACTGATAACATGGCAGTATTTTAAAATCTACGTGCTTTCACATGAAGAAATTAATTATTTACCATAAATATTCTGCTGATAATTCTGCATGTTTATGTTCCCTATTAAACGAATAAATGTTTAATCCAGTCTTTGTTAACTTTAAAAAATGACAGAGCCTCACATAATGGGTTTTATTACAAAAAATATTAATTTGATTTTTTTTTATGTTATAGGCTTTACTTTCCTAATGCTTTTGCTTATTGTTTGTGCAAATCCCTTTATTTTTTTCCTTTTGGTGTAATAGTTTCTTAAACCCATTCTATGTATGAGTGATGATAATCATATACGTATAGTACAGTAGTTGGATTCAAATCCTATTTCCAAATTCTTTGGAATATACAATAATTGGTTTCTAAGTGAACTGTATGTTCCTATACTACTGTTCTAATTGTTATTTCATAAGGGGAGACAAGAAAGCCATCTTGAATTTAACTTCTGTAGTTATGGCATTCTGTGTGGGTTGCTATTTATTGTATTGCAAGTTATCTGTGACATAAGCTTATATGTAATCAATTTTCACCTCTGGGTGCTGGGGTTCGAACCTGGACCACCAAGGTTGGCAGTCAGGCAGCTATCAACTGGACTATAATGGGCTAAATTGTTTACAGTGATTTACCTGTGTACATTACAGGCTCTGATATAAGCTTAGATGCTTTCAGCCAAAAAATTTTTGTCTCCAAAACTAACTTAACAAGATAAAAATATTGTTTTGTTTTACTGTACCTACCAATGCTGGAGATTAATACTGCCTGGTATTTTTGGTTAAATATGATGATAAATAAGTGGTGCTATGTTGTCTAGGCTCATTGGCTAGCCAGTCTGTCTCAATCTGCCACTGACTTCACCTGAGAGTATTAGACAAGCTGGCCGCATGACCAATGACAAAGGATGACTAGCCCAACTTCATGAACAATAATGCATGCTGGTTCATTCGTGAATTTGCTTGTTAAATTACATAGAATTTTGTTAATTGAATTTTCATACCCCCAAAACACTAAGCTCATTAAACCAAATACTGTACTGTATAGTACTCATCCATCAGTTAAGTGGAACTTTACTGTTTAGTACAGAAGCATTGTCAAAAGGGGGACTGGCTGTGGCTTGGAGGATAAACCCCCTCTTACTATGAAAACCTTTTTTTTTTTTATATTGCACAAGTTTTACTTATACAGTACTGTATAGCTGCTACACTGGACTTATACAGTACAGTACTGTACCAGCCTTTATTAGGGACAACCCAAGGTATAAATGAAAGCACTTGCATTTATGAATATGTTCAATTGCAGGTGAAGTTGACCACTATGATATAGAGGAGCCTGATTTTCAAGTACAAGCTCGGTCTAGATTGGAAGCTCTTTCATCATGTTTTGCACAACTTGCTCACAAGGCACAGACAATTTTCCAGACTAATGCTAAACTGGAGGTCAGTTTGATGTTATGTAGCATTAAAAGAAATTTATAATTTGTTATCTTCTTTGGTTGCACATTGAAATAAAATTACATATTAGAGTTTAAAATCTGAGTATTCCTGTTGCTAAAATTGGCATTGCCTTTACTAGAAATGGTTAAAAGATAACATTAGAAATCACATTAACTATTAATATTCTAAATGCTGTAGTGTACTGTACTGTGCTGTAATCTTAAATTCTATAAATATGCCAGGCCGAGTTGGTACATCTTCGACATGAATGTGCTGAGGGTCGAGCCTTCCGTCAGGTGGCTGAGGCAGAAAACAGAGAGCTTTTGATGAAACTTCACTCCAGCCAATTGAAGTTACATTCTACAGGTGGAGCTGCTCACACACAAGACTCAGAGAAGATCAGAGAGCGACTGGTAATCTAGTTTTAACCATTATTGTCTTGAGCTTTAAATGTTTTGAATATAATTCTTGTAGGTGTGAAATTTTGAATGTAAAATCTGTATGCCTTTAAACAGTTCCATTTAGATATTTAAATATCAAGTATGGAATTCTTTATATTTATCTCGCATTGTGCTGAGGAGTTAAAACACAGTCTATTACAAGCTTCTTAGTCTAGAATGATCAGGAGCATGTTCTCAATTTGTTTATTTATTTAACCTGTGGGTGTGGGTGGGTGGGAATTTCTGTCTATAATAATGATTTGTAGAATCTACTACAGTACTCTCAACTACTCTCTCTTCTGCACTGATCAGAGGACAGGCTTTGTCTGAAACTGCATTTTGCTGGACTACATAATATAGATGAATGTTCCAAGATGGTTGTGCTGCTATGTTTTATTGGTAGATTTGTAGTATTTGGTCCAGGAAAACTCAGGCTACATTTACCAGTTTATTGGTGTGGCTAGGAGATCTGTGCTCTAACATGGAGCGAAAGTGAGTGGCCGTTCCGAGGCTTCCCACGAGTATATATACCGGCTGACTGAACGAGGCTGTCTCGGCTTAAGTCTCGAACCAAGTTCAGCCATGTCAGCCAGCTGACTCAACAACAGTTACATGAGCAGAATGGCTAGTTACAACAATTATAGGCATCTGTTAACTATATTACATTACATTACATACCATAATTACATTACATTATACTTATTACATAATATTATATTACATAATATTATTCTTCAGTCGCTACAGATTGTTGGCCATTTGTTTTCTCAATGTAATATACTTTTACTTTTATCCTCTTCACTGATCGGCTAGTTAGCTGCTTGGGCGGTCAGTCACATCTCTGTATGTCAAATAGATGAAGAATGTATCTTTAACCCCCTAACTCCAGGGGCGTCACTTGTAAGATTTTATTTGGCTGACACCAAACAATTTTATTCAGCAGACGGGACCCCCTTACACAAGTGATTAAAGTACAGATCCAATTTGTATGATGTCTTTGTCTATTGAAATTAGCATTAAAAAACTATACACATACAGTGAATTCTGCTATAACGCGTGTTTTGATAACGCGAATTTGCTCTAACGCGATTTATGAATTAGGAACGATATTTGTATAACGCGAACGCTTGTTTGCTGTAACGCGATTTTTGCTTACTATTTCTCCAATTTTGTGGTACAGTGGGGTATGCTATAACGAATCTAATTGGTTCTAGAACCTTGTTCGTTATAGCATTCGTTCGTTATAGGATTAATCCGTTCCAGGCCCCCAAATACAACCACTTAACACTGAAAAATATAATTTAAAATTGTAAAAAAGTGCATAAAGATGCATCTAAACCCCTGAAATAAAGAATATCATTAATATTTGTAATAAAAAAACAATAAATTAGAAAAAAAAAAATTAAATAATGTTCGTTGTAGGAGTTTCGTTCGTTATAGCATTCTCAATTTTATAGGTAAAACCGTTCGTTATAGGAATATTCGTAGTAGAATCCGTTCGTTATAGCATACCCCACTGTATTAACTGTGAATATAGTAAAGAAGAATATCAACAAGAAGCGTTCTGGTGATAGAATTCCTGGTGATGATCGTAAAAGAAAGGATATAACACTTGAAGAGAAGCTCGATTTTATCAACCTCAAAATCACCCTTCTCCCCATCAAGTAAAGTGTTACATTTACTGTATGATTTCATTATTAGATATGAATGTAACATTTATTTAGACTGTGCTATCCTTTGTGTTAGGCTAACTACTAAATTTTTTCGATTTCGAGTAATCTGCACCTAACCCTATTTTCTCCATAAGCCCTGTTATTTCTATTACGCGATTTTCTATAACACGATATTTTACAAGAACACAATTATCGCGTTATAGCAGAACTACCTGTACTGTACAATATTCATTTTACCTATATTCAAATAACTGCTTTATCTTATGACAATACTCAAGTCATTCATTAAGTTTTTCTTCATATTGTACAGTATTTCACAAAACTCCTCCATCATGCAGCAGCTCATTCCCTTTAAAAAAATATTTCCTAACTAGCATTCATACCACTTTTTCTTAATACTGTATAGTCATCCTTCTATTTGGGGAAATTTGTTTTACCGAAATTTACTATAACGGAAATGGTTGATTTATGACTAAAATTTGACAAACAGAAAGCAGACTTGCTAGAAAGGAAATTTTGGTAAACAGTTGAATTTTAGAAGGAAATAAAAGTATCTGTATACATAATTAAAATTATCCTAATCATTTTCATCTTCAGCATTTTATGGCCATTTTCCGCGCTTGCATGGGTTAGTCGCTATTACCTGATGGTAGCTCTCCATGCTGCACAGTCTCTTAGTCTCTTTTGTAAGGTTCTTTGCAGTAATGTCATTTCTTGCAACCTCTCCCCATGTCATATAATTTATCCCTAATTATTAATCTTTAATGCTAATATAGCTAACACAGGTGTTTTTGAGTCTTACATTACCTCACACAACTTGAGCAGTACCACACTTTTTGGAAAGTGTTACTAAAACTCCACTGCATAACTAAGACAAGTGGTTGTGAGTTGGAGGAATTACATTACCTCACACAGCTTAACTGTACCACATACTTTTTGGAAAGTGTCATTAAAACGTTTTTTTTTTCTTATGTGCTGCTGTTAAATAGGATGAATGTGTAAGTATAACTTGAAAAGTACAGTGTAGGAGTACAGTATAGTGTCTGGTAAGATTTTTCAATAAGGTTAATTAATATTAGTACAGTGTTTTTATTATTATTTTTTATTTTATTTATTTTTTCCTCTTCACCACTGATCGGCCCGTTAGCCACTTAGGCGTTTGGTCACTTCTCTGATATGCACTGTTAGCAGATACTGGGCAAGCACTGGCTTCTTAATATATTGGAACCTGCTCCAGTGTTGGTCAAGTCTGGCCTTGAAACAGCTCACACTCGGTGCCGTCACAACGCTCTCTTGCAGATTGTTCTGAGAGTTCACAATTTTCACTCCGAAAATGTTTGCCCTCTCAGTTTTCTGGACTTAGATGAATAAAATTTCTATATATTTGTTTTATATGTACAGTTGTAGTATATCGTATTATACATATTTGTTTGGATTTGCTACCATACTGTACAGTATTTCTTTTGGTAGTTATTAAATTTTTTCTGCAAAGACTGTGTGACCAAAAATGCCCCCAGGCTTGCCTTCCATTATAATATTAAGTCAGTGGGAACAACATAACAATTAATGTTGTTTTTCCTAATGGCGTGTTTTGTAGGAGTGCTTCCATAGTGTAAATAGAAGACTAATTCTAATTTAATTTTTAAAGAGGTAATTTTAAATTTGTAAGTGTTGTGTTGCTAAATATTAATACCACAAATTCTTTGTGTACCCCACTTTAGGAAAAAGACTTGGAGCAACAGAGATCGGAGAACCTGAAAGTTATGATAGGAACACATGAGTCTTCCATATTGAGGAAAGAGAATGATTCTCTGCGGCGGTATATCCTAGGGCTCCAGGGTGAGCTGTTTGGAGCCAAACTTGCAGCGAAGTACTTGGATAAGGAGCTAGCTGGGAGGTAAGCTTTGTGATGAAAGTCAGCGATACAGTATTTAATATTTTCTTACCTCCCATGAATTGTTGAAGGCACAAATATGATTTACTTGAATAATTCAGGATTACTTTACTGTATGTAGTATGTATAAGTGAGTAAGGCATATGAGCAATGATTTTTTGTTGGTAGAAAGTGCTGTCCATATAAGTGGGTATACAGTACTGTACATATAACATGAACTCCTTGTGTTGACAAGTCTACTGTTTGCTTGTAAAAATTAAATAAGTTCTATAGAATTTTCTCTTAATTAGCAGTTAACAACTTCAACATAACTTTTATATATGGCATTTAAATTTTTTTATATAGGATTCAACAGATTCAGCTACTGGGTAGAGACTTGCGAGGAGAAGAACATGACAAACTGTGGCGCCAACTTGAGGCTGAGATCCACCTACATCGGCACAAGACAGTAGTGCGTGCATGTCGAAGTCGTTTTACACATGGAGCACAGGTACAGTAAATATAGCAGAAAAATTGTGGCTGGGGTTGACCAAGTAGGCAGCTAAGCAGTGGTTGTGATGTTTTATTTTAAAATCCATTGTTTCTTTTTCTTCCTTTTGTAGGAATCATCATCTTCCATTCTGAGGCAGAATTATCATCTTTACATATTTGTGTTACTAGGTTCCTGGAGATGGAAGAAGTGATGGAAGCGCTTGTGTGGTGAATGGGGGTGGAATGTCACGACCTAGCAAACAGCAGCAGCGGAGGATTGTAACATTACAGAAGGCTCCACATGAGGGTCTTGGTATGTCCATTACAGTAAGTGTTTTATCACTGTTCTCAAGTGGTAAGGTTTGTAATAGTCAGTGGTAATGAAACTCAAACACACCTTTGATCTGTAGGATGAGCCAAGAACTGGTTGTACTGTAGGGCTTATCATCTGATTTTATTGAAATGAAATGTTAAAAAAAATTTTAATTTTAGTTTACCTGTGCAAAATACAAAGAAGCCTTTTATATTTCTCTTCTGTCATAATCCTCTTTCTTGTTGTTTGCCATCAAAAGTTAATCATTTTTGTCGAGAAACTTAACCATATTTTAGTAATCCCTTGCCCATTCCATTTTATATTTGAAATACCATCCTTGTTCAGAGCACATAAGTGAACTCCATTGTTATCAGACAACAACTCATTATATTTTATAGGGAGGACGAGAGCATGGCGTGCCGATCCTCATCTCAGTCCTTCACCCTGATACACCTGCTGGCCGTTCAGGACACCTGTATGTTGGAGATGCCATACTATCTGTCAATGATATTTCCTTGAAGGAGGTGAGTGCTAATGGCTATTTGGTGAAGATTCTCAAAATTTTTATTGTGATAAAGGTGGTGTATCAATTAGGCATCACGAAAATTGTGACCAAGTCCCAAGTTGCTGATCTGACTTTCTGCCTCATTTATACACAATTGCAGGGTCTCAATTGTTTCTCTTACTATTGACAACACAACATACATATATTGTTCCTTACTTTTGATTTTTTTTCATTTTGTATTTCTTTGTGGTTCTTTATTATTATTATTATTATTATTATTATTATTATTATTATTATTATTATTATTATTCTTTTTATTCTTCTTATTCTTCTTCTTCTTCTTCTTCTTCTTCTTCTTATTCTTCTTTCAATTGAACCCAGAGGGTCCCGCGTTTGAAAACCGCGTTAAGTGAATAACAGAACATATGGGATTAATTCCAATAGAACCCAGCCCGACCCCCAAACTCCACTTTTTGACGACAAATAACTATGTTGTAGTAAAAATTCTATCTTAACTTTATGGTGGCATGAAAAACAAGTAATATAGAAGAGGTTAGGTTAGGAAAGATAAAGGTTAACATAGGAAAAATAAAGAATAGGTTAAAAAACGAAAAGTTTTAAGGAACACTCACGGTAGTAGAAGAGATGGGTCGGCATACGGGGATGGAGGCTGGTTCCGAGGCAGAGGGCAGATTACTGCCCCTCAGGTGAATCACCATTACTAGGTGAATCACCATTACTAGGTGAATCAATATCACTGTCACTTACAGTTGTCATGGCTTCCCTGACAAATCCCTCAAAATCAACTTCACTATCACTATCACTGGCTTGGGCTGGCTGTGGTGGGTTGCGGGCGAAGAACTCGGTTATGCTTTGCTGACGGCTGGCTTTGATGTTTTCATGATACACCGTGATGTACGGCTCCATAGCCTGCACCAGTCGGGTATGGAAGACGTCATGGCGTTCATCGTCAGTGTCGCGGGAAACGATGGACTTAATTTTTTCTGTTAACTCTATGACACACTTAATATCACTATGACTTAAACTAGGTTCTTCGGAGAATGACGCACCTTCTTCCTCCTCTTCACTGGCGGGTTCTTCTTCCAACATCTCGTCGGCAGTCACTTCAGGATCTCTGATCACCTCCATGATGTCTTCGTTGGTGGTCTCGGAGAAGCCTTCAGCTGTAACAGTCTGCGCAGCTTCTCTGGCAAGGTCCACTGCTACTGCAACAGTCTGAACCTGACCAGTCACAGGTTCACTCCTCCTCTCACCTGGTATGCCATGCAACACATGTCTCCATGCGTGACGAATCGTAGCAATAGACAGCAGATCCCATGCCTCCACCAAGAAGTCTACAGCTTGTTTGACGTTAAACTTCTTCCAAAATTGTTTGACGAGAAGTTCTTGAGTCGCCGCCTCTTGTTCCTTGTCCTCGTCGCTTTTACTCTCGCTGTCGGTGTCACCCAGCTTACGCAACTCATCCTTGGTGTTGGTAGAGTCGTTCAGGAGCTTGAATTTCTTTGCCGAGTATGCAGCTTTAACATTGCAGATTAACTCCTGGTCCATGGGCTGGATTAATGACGTAGTGTTGGGAGGAAGGAAGACCACTTTTACGTTGGGGTGACGATCCATAAGTAGGGGCGAGTGTCCAGGTGCGTTGTCAAGGAGCAACAAAATATTGAAAGGAACATTCTGTTGCTCGCAGAATTTCTGCACGTCAGGAACAAAAAAGTTGTCAAACCAGAAGAGGGACAGAGAAGAGGACATCCACGCCTTACGTGCGGTTAGCCAGTGGACATTAAGCTTGTTCATCTCCATTTTCTTGTAGGCGTGCGGCTTGCGGGCTTTGTGAATCACCGATAACTTTGGTTTACAGGTACCGGAGGCATTGGTGGTAAACAGGACGGTGATGCGTTCCTTCTGCATCTTCCGGCCCCTTACCTTGCTCGCAGACTGGACAACGAAGGTCTTGGAAGGTAACTTTTTCCAGAAAAGACCAGATTCGTCCATGTTAAACACCTGGTCGTCAGTGTACTGTCCTTCCTCCATAATCTCACGTAAAAACGGAGGCAAATCTCTAGCCGCCGCACGGTCAGCACTCGCTTCCTCACCAACAATGCTGATGTTGGTGACCTTGTTCCTCCTCTTAAACCTATGCAGCCAACCATGGGAAGCATTGAAGGGTTTGGGCTCTGCAATTCCCAGTTTACGTGTCACTGCTGCGTATAGCTCACGTGCGTACTCCTGCACTGAGCGCGTGTCCACCGCCATGTTGCGTCGCGCCTGACGCACCAAATAACTCACCAGCAAAGTTTCCACTTTTGCCAGCACCCTGTTCTGGCAATACCTGATAGATGAAGCACCTGCAGACTTTGTGATCTTCATGTGCTCCTTTATCTTGGCTGCATCCTTCTTTATTGTACGAATCGTAGATTCGTTGACGCCATGCTGGCGCGCGAGATCAACTTGGCGTCTTCCTTTCTCCAAATCTTGAACAATTTGGTACTTCAGCTCGTAGCTTAATGAACGTCGTGTCTTCTTTGGTTTAGTGCCGCTGGGTCCAGGTAAGGAAAGGTTTCTCTCTGGGGGTGGTGGTCCGGCGGAAGCCATTTTACGGAACAATGGATGCGCGTTAACCCGGCGTGGCCTTGAGGGATGAAACTGCCGCGGCTAGGTCAAGCGTCGTCTCTCCTCCCTCCCTCCCTCCCCGGGGTAGTCACGTCATAATACTTTAAGCCAATTACAGCTAGCAGCAGAGGGGGGTAGGGCTGCATGGCCAATCACAGTCCGAGACGTCATATGACGTCAGTGATAACGCAACAAAGACACACACTGCGCAACCTTACCGCGCCGCTTACCCAAGCGGAGGGAGGAGGAGGGAGAGGCAGGCAGGCAGGCGGGCGGGTGGGTGGCGCGTGGCGCGTGGTCAAAATCTAAAAATAGCATCCGAGCAGGACACTCACCGCGTTGCTGTGGTCCGCGTTAAGTGAAAGTTCAGCTTTGGCAAGGCACCGCGTATATGCGAAAACGCGTTAAGTGAAAGCGCGTTAAGCGGGGTAATACTGCTTATTATTATTATTATTATTATTATTATTATTATTATTATTATTATTATTATTATTATTATTATTATTATTATTATTATTATTATTATTGCCCCCCAGGCCCTGATGTGGGTCAGTGACCTATGCCTGGGTGGGCTAATTCCCATAAAAAAAAAAATTGTGTCTACAAACTCTGGTCCTTTTAACCTGAGTACTGTGTAGGATCAGTGTGTGAACTCCAGTTGTGATGGAAGTGGGGAATGTGAGAAAACTGTACATTTTCATTATTATGCAATGTAATGTCACATGATCATGCAATTAGCCCAAGCTGAACCCGCACAAACTCTACCTGGACAGACTCAGCCAGACCTATATGACTCCACACCCTTGTTCTGGCATTTTATCTTGATGTAGATTGTGATTTACATTTCAAAGATATGACACAAATTTGATCCTGTACTTTGTGATGCCAACAAAAACCCCAGTGTTGTGGAAATTGTATGTTATTTTTTTAATCATTGGGAGATATTGAGGTGCTGACACGGTCATCTGGGAGCAAGTGTGATGAGTAATAAATACGTGATGGGTGATAATGGCTGCTTATTGCACTAGTTTTTCAAAAATTTTCAGCTTGTCTACAAGTCTTTATTACATACAGTTTTTCCTGTTAGTGGTCGTGCAGTGTTGAACTATCAGACAACTCCTGGGGTTTGTTCAATAGGTTTAGGGTGTCCGTTATAACCGGGTTCCATTATATATGGTGTCCATTATACCAAGAGTTTACTGTACAGTATATTGTTAGTAAAACAAATGCATTATTTTAGCATATTTCATTACTATTTTAGGAATATACAGCAGGTGTATATTACAATAAACAAAATTTAACTTTTGATTTTCATAAAGCAAACCATCTTAAGTCAGGGACTACAGTACCTGTATTACCAAAATTCATACTTACTGACAAAAATTATGTGCAGTAGCTTGTGCAGAAGTTTTTTTTGTAAATATTGTTTTATTATATACCGTACAGTAATATTATTTGCTTTTCAATATCATATAAAATGTTTTTATATTTTACTGTAATGTTCCAGGTTAATCATGTAGATGCTGTACAACTATTGTCATCACAGGAGGGAACAATCAGGTTGGAAGTGGTGTATGTATCGCCAGAAGATGATGATGATGACACATCACTTGTAGAAGATCCATATGGCTTCAAGTAGGTTTTATTCATGTGTGATGATCATTGTATTTGTTTGAAACTCCTAATGCACTACATAGTTATGGGCATAGCTAGTAATTTCTCTCCACACTAAGTAGCATATAATGTTTATGATTGTTCAATGCCCACACTGCCTCCTGAGTATGAACAAAAAGGTCTTATTTTATAGCAGAACTTGAAAACCTTTCTTAACCCCCTTACATTTGTGGTGAGTCAGCTGGAAACTAAAGTAAAATGGCAGATTGGCCTATAGTGGGCAAATTTTGTTTCCAACCTTTTTCTTTGTGGTGAAAGCTGTGACCAGAAGGGGTAGGTACAGGTAGATTCCTTTCATACTGAGAGTAGCAACAACTCGAGATTTGATGCCATCTTAAATCCACACACACACACACACAACAAAGTGATAAGACATCGAATGTTTATAAATCTTGTGGATATTTGGTGATATCGCCATGCACAATTGTGCATGCTGGCCACATGTTAAGTGAAGAAACTGTTTACAACTCAGAATAGCATACTAAGCGAGATGGAGCTGGTAACAGCTGTGTGAATGCCTGAGGGACAGACTATCGTCTTCTACTGTAGAGGCAACATCTTGATTCTCGTCAGCCAACATCTTCCTGCAGGACATTATATTTGTTCTCGTTGATCTAACCCCAGACCCAAAAATGTGAGTGTGATTGTGAACTGTTGAATCCTCTGAGAACTCTAAATAACTTTAATAAGTGTAATTATGTACTGTATATTGATCGTATTATTCAATCTGTGTGTCCTGATGTATCAGCAGTTGTTACATGTGAGTTATATTTAACAGGTTATGTACTGTATATTGATCGTATTATTCAATGTGTGTCCTAATGTACCGGCAGTTCTCATATGTGAATTGTATTCAACAGGTTTTGACCGAATTATACTCATCGCGTCAACCAGTGCCGGATTTAGACCTGTGGAGGCCCATGGGCAGCCTCTTTGTGGAGGCCCCCCTCATTATGACTACTCCTGGAGTAGCTAGCCTAATTTCTATCACGCTTCTTGCTGAACATTGTTTTACTTGATGGAATAGATAAACATGAATTTTAAAGAATGAAAATAAAAATAATACAAATGAATAAACAAATAAATAAAATATTGTAATATGTGGAGGCCCCCAGATTGTGGAGGCCCCTGGGCAGCTGCCCACTTTGCCCACTCCTGAATCCGGCCCTGGCGTCAACGACAAGGGTCTTATTGTCCTGCACAAACCAAAATCGCTCCTATGAGCAATTACATTTGGTTTGTCAATACTCTATAATATTGTAATGGAAACTTACAGATATTTGATGTCTTATCACTTGGTTGCATGTCACAGTATGTGTGATCAGATTGAACATAGCTTTTCATATGTTCTTCTGTAGAAGAGCCGAAGAGCCAGGGCAGTTTCGCCTAACGGGAGATTTCCTACGCTTGGGAACACTGCGGTGAGAGAAGAGAGTCGGTACTGCAGTCCATTTGAGCTTCCATTTGCCATCAACTCGCTTGTTCTCAATTGATCACCCTCAAAGTGTTATGACAATTAGAAGGCTAATGCAGGTAATATTTCAGTCAGGCAAGAATATCACAAGGACATAGTTTATATATAAAACAAGGGAAATAAATAAAGCATAAGAAGCGAATAGAATTTGCTCGAGCAACTTTTAATAGGCTACACGGATTTTTCATACTGTATGTCCTTATTCCTCGTGTATCTCTTATATTTTAAACTTATTTTTATGGAGAATAAGAGTGAGCTTCTCACCTAGTGAACCTGCTCACCTAGTGTATGACAACACAACCATAAAACATATCTGAGACAAATAAGATGGTGGGGACGGTTTCCAGTCCAGACGACTGACTTTGTTTACCCATATTTGCCTTCATTCTGGGTGTGGAGGAAATCTGTACAGTTTAAATCCTTTCTCCGATCTATTAGTACAGTACATCCGATGGCACAGCAGCACGGTATTACACATTACACACTGTGTCCACATCCAACCAGGAATATGATCTGCTTGACTCCACAGGTCAATGTGAACGGAGGGGCTCGGTGGCGTCAAGATGGCGTCCAGTAGCCTCGTTTTCTATTTAAACACGGGACCACCTATGTCGCTACTCTCAGTATGTAGGGACTCTAGGTACAGGTACAGTAATTGTAAAATTATTCCAGTTTTCAAAGAAGGTGCAACACAGTGACCAAGCTCCCCAGAATTGGCTAACACAGTGATAAGGACCACCTGACTAATGGGTTTGTCATATAATAGGATTTTACGACCATTACCCTGTTTTTGCTTTTGACAGATACAGAATATATGATGAAGATGTAATCAGCCTCACTAGTAGTCAATTGATGCCCAATGGTCGCCTCTCTAGAGCCTCAGTTGAAAGTGTGAGAGGATCTACAGACAATATGCTTCTTGATTCTCCAAGGTGAGTTTTTAATCTTTGTTATGGAATCTTAAGGAAACACTAGGAGTCAGTTTTTGCTATAGTGGTGGTAGCAATAGTAGTTCATTCTGAAGCTGCCTTATTCATCCCATCTGTACTCTGTCAATATCATCACTCTTGGCAAATAATTGCATTATTTGTTCTTTCTGTTTCTTAACTCATAGGTAAATGATGTGTTGACTCCGTAATCCTCACTTAATTGTCACACTGATGCGCCTCTTCCAAGATTTTTTAACCACTGAACTTTCTTTCCTATAGATAAGAAATTGTGTTTCCCCTTAGCACTGTTACCTGGACACCTCTGCAGGTCATTTTCACCTACATTGTAATGGCAAAGAGAAAATGCAACAGACAATCACCACAATTACTAAAATGGCAAAGTGGACCCAAATTGAAATGGCATTACTTGACTCACCTTGTCCAGATTTAGATGTTCTTTGCTCCAAAACGATACAAATAGACCTGAAGTGATATGGCATCACCTGACCTCTTGTTGCACAATATGCACTAAAAAGTTTGTTTGAACTTTGACTTTTTTTCTTTACAAGCATTTAAACTTCAATATTCTTAAAAATTTAAAATTTTGGGGTACATTCGGATTACAGGTTCCCAGAGTCTGGATGGTAAACCTGGGTGCATATAAAATTAACAACACACTACAGTTACCAATATGTAGCATAGATTTATATTTAAATACTGTATCATAACACAGTATCTGGTGGGTATTTATTGCAAACAGTGATTAATGAAATACAGTACTGTATATTAATAGTTTGATAAAATGTTCTTAGAGTGAATATTAATGTGTCTAACTTATGTAAGCTCAGTGCAGGTTGTGTATAATCACTATCACTTTCACCACTTTCTGGTCACTTTAAAACCACAGTAAAGGGAAATTATAACTAAAAAAAAAGCACAAAACACTGTGAGAACCCCGTCTGGTATTGTATATGTAAACAAAATTTGTTGGAACGTGGGGAAGGTGACCCTCACTAAGCAGTTCCACAAAGTGTTTCCTCCTCCACCATATAAAACACACTTATTTTTTATAAACTTTTAAGTGTAGTTACATTTGTATTTACTGTTTGGTATATATTTTATCTATAGTTTAATGTAATATTTTTTAAATAGCAAATCCTTATTCTAAGCAAATATGTCACCACATGACTCAGACTCTTACATTGCCAGATGTACTACAGTACAGGGTATATCTAAATCAATCAATCATGCCAAGGCAGCCAATCACAAGTCATGTTGGACAACACAAGTTGCCAGACCACAGGGTGCAAGATTAGACCTGTACTATTGTACAGCACATTATTTTTGGGGGGTTGAACATGGGAGCAAAGCATCATAAGTGTAATAAACATAAGCTAAATAATACTGTGACGATAGATATAAGCATATACAGTATAGAAAGATAAATATCATTATACCAAATCTTATAAGTAGCTAAGTTGTGAAATATACAAAAATATTTTAACGAAAAAAGTTCCAGGAAAAGTGAACTCTGTACTGGACTCTTTAACCCATTTCTGATTATGTTACAGGAGACGTGTGGATGTTGACATAATTGATGAAAATGGAGAAGTTTCCACAAGTAATGGTGCTGGTGATACACACACATCAAGTAATGGAATGGATGATTTGACCCCCAGTATTGGCATAATGGATGATGCAGTGTCACATGAAAGTCTCAATGGAGCAGCTGCCCATCTTGAATTTCATAGTGATGTGACAGGTATGAAAGAGGTATATTTATTACTTGTATACATGTAAATGGAAATTATCATATTAATGACCAATGCCATAACAATGAGTAATGATGTGTATTACAGGAAGTGAAGATGAGGGAGGTGCATTAATTAACAACAGGACCCAACAAACAGCTTCCACTTATGTAGAAGCACATGAGATCACGCCACCCAAGTCCACAGCAAATGATGCAGGTTTAACCACACAAGAGTCAAGCAAAGAACACACAGGACAAATGCTTTCTTTACTCAACCCACAAGATTTAGAAGACAACAGTTTTAAGGAAACACAAGACTCTGTCACAGAATCTTCTCTTAGGTCAGTATTGGGGATAAGTTGACTAGAATATCCTGTTTGATTGCATGTACTGTACAGTATCATTTATGCTGCTGTGTAAGATGCATATTTTTCCTAAAAAATCCCCCTGTGTTTTACACACCGAAGGGGTGATATAAGGTTAAAAACTGTGATGGTTGGTTGGCCCATATACTGAGGGTACCCTGGTCATGTTGCCAGGAAAAAGTCGATAATTTTAACTCTTAGTTTATCATGGAAGATTGTTATGGTTACCTGTAAAATATAAGTTTATTAAGTTGTACAAATTTTTTATTTTTTCATTTTACATATATATTTTAATTATACAGTATTACAATGGATAAAACCAGTGAAAAAGAACATATTGGTCACTGTGAACTCTGCCGTGGGCAGGAAGCAGAAGTCATCTACAGCCATGAATGCTATTTTTAGACATTTGCTGTTTAGAAATTTTGAGGCCGCCAGTCTGTGTGGCTTATAAGTGGCAGGGACTGTACATACTGTAGAGCATTAGCAAGTAACTCCTTGATGTACACTTCTGTATATGGTAACCAGAGTGACCTAAAACATATCTCGTAATACAGTGAACCCTCACTTTACGCGGTCAATTGAACCCACGGCGGCCCGCGTAAAGTGAACAACATAACATATGGGATTAATTGAAATAGAGACCGGGCCGACCCCCAAACTCCACTTTTTCAGACACAATACCTACGTTGTAGTAAAAATAACTTCTTAATTTTATGATGGTATGCACACACAATTAATAATTAAGAGAAATATCAATAATATTATGTTTTTTAACACTTACATTAGTAGAAAAGATGGCTGGGCACACAGGGATGGGGGGTTGGTTCCGAGGCAGAGGGCAGATTATTGGCTCTCACCTGTATCACTTGTATCAATTGTATCACTATCCACCACAGAGGCTTGCAGGGCCTCTTTGTCAAACCCCTCAAAGTCTATATCCTCACTATCATTATCACTGACTTGGGCCGGCTGTGGTGGGTGGCGGGTGAAGAACTCGGTAATGTTTTGATGACTGGGCGACCTTGTGCGCACCCTGCTCGCGCCGCTCTCCGCGTAAAAGGGTACACACACCGCGGAAAGTGAGCATTCCGGTTTTGGCAGGGTACCGAGTAAACGTGGAAACGCGCAAAGTGGGACCGCGTAAAGCGAGGGTTGACTGTATTTTGAAAACTTTAGTTGGTTCATAATTAATAAAATTTATAGAAAATTATGAGTAGTATATTTAAGTGGTGGTTCAGAGATCACTTGCCTTTAACAATAAATTAACACTTACATATTGTATTGAATAAATGTAGAGATAGATAAACAGAGATTTTTCCCAGAATGTTAACATCAGTTTTAATATTTCTGTCTAGCTCTCCCTCTTTGGATGACAATGAGGAGGATCAACATGAAGGCTGCCGTACGCCACTACAAGACATCGAGTACAAGCTCAACGCTAATTTCTCCATGTAAGATATTAACTTCTTCTTGAAGTTTGTTGAGAAACTTGATGATGGTACAGTACATAGTAAGAGAAAATATGACATTGAATGATTTATGAAAAATATTGGACGAGATTAAAGTTGGTTCATTCAGACAGTGATGCAAAGGATTGTTCAAAAAACAAACTATGTGATTATATTACATTAAGCCAGGTGTGAACTAGACCTTTGACCACTTAAGTAGCCAAGCTCTTGAAAAGCATGAGTTAGACAGTGTTTAGAAATCTAGTCCGGTTACCAAAAATTAGGAATGGATAAATGGATGGATAGGTAGGGTGACTACATGACTACATAGCCCCAAGTAGTTAGTAGATGCAGTGGAGATGTGATAATTTGTGGGTTTGGTACTAGAAGACATTGTAAATTATTAATTTGCGAGTTACAATTTCCTGTAATTGATTTAAATGGAAATAATTAGTTTGGTTCTGGATGCTAAAAATATGCATAATCTATATGAAAACTGCTTTGATAAACACTCAATATTGTAAATAATACATAAAAGATACAGTAAAACATAACGATTGAAAAAAAAAGACAGATTTATATTCCATAAATAGATCCTTCCATTCTCATAATCATCCTTTGGGTGACACCAGTACATCAACATGGAGACAGGCATGGGCGCGGTGATCGAAAGTTCTGGCTAACGTGGAGATTACAGTACAGGTAACTCGCGTTTTACCCGCATTTGATTTCTGCGTTTTTGGAATAACGCGATTGTTCAATTAATACCAAAGGCTAATTTACGTGCACCTATCTTTGAAATAGCGCGCTCAAGACGGTTTAAATTTGCCGCGTGTATACGCCTGGTCGCCTGACAGTGGAGTCACGTGTGATGCCTGGTGAGGCGCTTGTAAGTTATTACTATTAAGTCACAATCATATCAACATCAACGATTTTAATATTATTATTATTATTAATTATTATAATAATGTACAGTAATAATGAAGATTATTACTACTTATGATGAAGATAATGATGATAATGACGTATTCTGTACAACTACTGTGACGACTTCCAGCAAGCTTCCTGCGTATCGGTTTCTCAGTTCACACCAGCACTACTTTTTCTCTGTGCTCTCATTTGCATTGTGTGTTTGTCATGTACCTTTTTAGTGTTAAACGCTGTTTTCCCAATTGAGCATGTCTGGTAAACATCCATCTGCCTTCTCTGGGGCGTCTAAAGCCAAAAAGGCACAAAAACAATCGCAATGGACGTGAAATTAAATGTGATCACCCGCCTTCAGAGATGAGAGCGTGTGTCGGAGGTTGGCCACGTGCTTGGTTTAAGTGAGAGCACTGTTTGTACCCTGTGTGGTATATGATGGTTCCCCTAATCTGTACCATTTACATGTATTCTTATGAGAAAATTATGTTTAATTTACGCGTTTTTGAATTAAGCAGTGGTTTTCAAGAACGTAAGCCCCACGTAAAACGAGAGGTGGGTGTACTGTATAAACATTTAAATTGCATATTGAAATGTATGTCATTACTAGGGGCATTATATTAAAGAAGGTATATACATAGTTTATACTCTATTACATGTGGATTGTAAGCATTTATTTTATAATATAATTAATTCCTTTTGCATGTTAATCTTGTCATATGCACTAATACTGTACTGTACTGTAGTGGGTGACAGTGTTGGTTTGCAAGAGGAGTCCGATAGTAACATTATAATAAATAACTCTTGGAGATGCTTACTCTTGATAACTTGATTCAGCCTTTCTTCATTTTCACAGTTATAAAATCAAATATACAATGCAGCACAGTGAATAGAATTTTGATTAGAGTAAAAGCAGTTTGGACTTACTTGATGAATTGATAAGCATACACAAGATTGAGATTTCTCAGGTGTTGTGTTTCATTTTTTGTAACTTTTCTTTTTTATAGTGAAGAAGGAAAGAACAAGCCTGATGTAGATGCAGATGTGGCTGAACCTTCATCAGGAAGTGATGTGTTTAATGGTAGTTACTAAGACCACAAAATCAGGCTGGGGCAGCTCCTGTACAGAGATACCTGAAGAATCAATTCCTTAGAGGTTTGTTTTTCCAAAGTACCAGGATCACATCCTTTTTGTTTATTTTGCATTGATTGAAATATTCTGCAGATACGTAGGGTTCAGAAAAGGAATAGGATGTGTAAATCAAAAGTTGTTTAAGAAGCATGAGAAAAAAGTCTCTGGAAAAGGGAAAGAATTTGTTTGTTAGCATTTATAAATCTGGAAAAAGTATGCCTGGTGTAATTGGAAATTGCTGAATGGAGAGTGAAGCATATACAGTATTCATTTGTAAGGAAGAATGAAACAGGTTCCTAGTAAGATTATGTCAGTGATGTCACCATGGTTATTCAACACTCATAGATGGGGTGGTAATAGGGGTGAAAGCAAGAGTAATGGAGAGGGTTGAATGTTTGGTAGATAATGATATTGGATGCAAATGAGAGAGGGGTCTGCTGCTATTTACTTATGACACTGCTCTAATGGGCATATCAGAATAAAAATTACTAAATGTTTATGAATGAGTCTGGGAGTACATTATATTTATGTACCTTAGGAAATTGTTTTAAATGTGAACAAAAGGAAAGTGATGGAATTAAGTAGAGAAGGGAGACAAAAAAATTAACGTTAGTTTGATTGGAGACGTGAGGTGTTGCAGGTGTCTAAACCAGTTATATCAGCAAAATGAAGTGATAGATTAATTAAATCTGTAGTAGAGGGAAAGAAATTAATAATTCAATGAATGGTGTGGAGAGAGAGAGAGAGAAAATTGTTAAAGGTAGCCAAAAATTGGAGTGGGAGGGACATCATTAAGCCTACATTAGTGTTTGGGTGTTTAGTATGGATTCTGCATAGAAGAAGAAGTAAGTTGGAAGAGGCAAAAACAACATACTTGAGATCAAAACGTGTATGTTGGGTGAATACGAGGTAGAAAAAAGGAAAGTAAAAATGAAGGGATGGGAAAGTGAAAGAAGTATCACAGACAGCTGACCAGTATTTGATTAAGATTTATAGAGAATGGGATGTGAAAGTTTGTTCAGAAAGGGTGTATAATAGAGTTAGGTGGTAGGAGGGATAAAGGAAGGAGATAGGAGGATGGGTTGAAGGACATGCTTTAATATGCATGGTTGTGTGAAGTGACAGAAATTAACCAAATTGATGTTTGTGGCTTTCTCATGTACAGTAATTAGAAACGTAACAGAATATAGACCTTCTTGTGGTGAGGAAACACCATTGTAGAACATATCTGTTGTAACAGTTAAAAATGAACGGGTGATAGTAAGTGAAGGGAAAGTCTGCATTTGTCCCTGAATATAACCACTTGTACTTTAGCATGAGAAGGCAAGAAGAACTGTGTTTTGTTTTGTTTTGTTTTTAAGTAGCCTTCAGTATGCCAGGTAATTGTTCATTTTGATTTCTTGCTGATATTTGGCTTGAAGTATATATTCTAGCTTATTTTACTGGAAAATTAAACGGTACATTATTTCCTGATATATAAATTGACACAACAGTACAGTTACATGAAAAGTATACTGATGAAACATTGCAGGGCTTAGTGGTTTGGGCTCCTTACATCTCTCCATTCATCTTCTTTTTCTTTTTTTTATTCAGCATTAACCCTTAGGCCCCGGGTGACGTTCCAGAACCTTCGCCTATTTTCCCGCCATTTTTTATTTTTAATTTTTTTATTTTATTTTTATTTTTTATTTTTTGAAAAGTTGATTTTTTCTCGATTTATCCCCGTGGGGGTGAGTTCTGCCAGCAGCACCCTAACCCGGGGCTTAAGGGTTAACTAATTTAAATCATACACAAATATTTTGATATAATTTTTGTATGTAGATGAGATGCCCTAGTTTCCACATACAAGTCATTTTGTTTTGTGATGTACCTGTACAATATTCCAAAATGGGTGGTTGGTGTCATTTCTTAATTAGGGCCCAGTTCAGTGGGGTCAAGTGATAATAATTTGCTTAAAAATCACTTATGGTGCAGTGATTACAATGATGTAAACTCCCAAGAAGCCAAATGAGTGTGACAAGGTCTAGGTTATTAATGTGTATCTTGAGTTTCCATAATGTTATTCTCATTCATGTAGTATATATTATTATTATGTATGATAGAGAGAGTATAACTGCAGTACTAACGAGAAACAAATACTCACTGAGGAATTATGCAGTGAAGTAGAAGAATTCACGGACTACGTAATACAAAATGCTCATACACTTTAGTTGCCTTGGGTGAACCGCTGTTAAACATGAAGCAAGGAGGCTTCATGTTGCCAGTTGTATGACCAACTAAGTGCATGATGCAATCAAACACCACATAATGAAACCAATTTACAGTTTATAAGTATTAATGCATATAAGACCCCAAAGCATAAAAGGGAATAACCTCCAGTCCTTCATTATTCTGTATTTTATATACACCAGAAGTGAGCAAAAATTGCTGTAATAAACACTGAGAATAATACATAGCATCTCATAAAGTAGCACATATATTGTATACAAAAAATAGTTCTTTCCAAGGCACCACTGAGTTGGTAATAAAAATATTCGTGCCTAATTCAATTATTGGGCAGTAACCAAACTCATAATTTTAGCATAAAAAAAGCCTCTTAATTGATAAAACCAGGATCAATATTTTTTGTGATACTGTACTGTACTGTACACCACGGTTAATATTTTGCCTTGTTTCATACTCTTGTTGTACCCTTGAATATTAATACAGGTACTGTGAAGTCGTGATAATTTCCAAAATGCAAATTCACATTTTTAAATTTGTGGCTACCTCTATTACTACCTCTTTTTTTTTTTTTTTTTTTTTTTTTTTACTGTCAAATTGTCATTATTTGCATCTGAGTACCAGCTGCTGCAGAAACCATAAAATTTTGGAAATGTCATTTCAATGCTCTAATGTGAATTAGGAATAAAGAAAAGAAAATATAAATATCATTTCAATGCTCCACTCTCGAGTGCTCTCACTCTGCCGCTCTTTTAATACAACATTATGCAATTTCCCATATTATTAAGGGTCATTTGGTACCGGGAAATGAAGCTTCGTATACCCCAAAAAATTTTCCCCATAAAAATCCTGCACTCAACCCCAGAGGAGTTATTATGTGGTATTAAATTCTGATGCTTTAATTACATAGCTGACTGCCTGTCTCAAATTTGGTGTACTGGCATAACCCAGAGGATGATTATGAGAAGGGAAGGAGCTGTTTATGCATTGTACTGTAGAAGTACTTTTTGTACAAAATCTGTGTGTTACTGTATTTTTTATGTACAGTGTATTGTATTACATACAATAATGTTTATTAAAGCAGTTTTGAAACAGTTTTTGCATATTTTTTGGCCTCCAGAACCAAACTACCAGTAATTATTTAAATTTAAATCACAAATTATAATTCACAATTTCATAGGACTTCATAGGTCTTCTGGTACCTGACCCACGAATTATCACGACTCCACTGTAATAACTTTAATGCATCATGAGGGACCATTTACTATACCTAAGATGCTTTTACTTCTACTGTAAACAACTTTAACTTAGTCTTCCTTGTATTTTATTTTGTCATTAGATATTGTTTAGATTTTCAAAAAAACAAATGTGTAATCAATTTTTAATACAGGGGGTCCCCCAAGTTTGCGGATTTTTACTTCCCGGTTTTCGGTTATTCGCGGATGACACCCTGGATGTACCCAAGAATGTCTGGGTAGTTTTAAAGTTGCCGGTATTTTTGCGGCTGGGACAGGGAGCCATTCATTCTAGAGACAGAAATTTCCTTTACCTGCATTGTAAATATGTGCACATTGTAAATATGTGCATGTGTGTAGACACACACAAAAAACACATGCAAATAAATAATAATTGGAAAATCCTCTCAGAAATAATCAGAAACAAATTTATTAAAAATGTGACAGTTTACCCTCAAGTCCGTGCTCTATTACAGTACTTTATTAATAGAGCACGGACTTGAGGGTACACCAACATTTTTAATAAATTTTTTTCTGATTATTTGTGAGAGGATTTTCCAATTATTATTTATTTGCATGTGTGTATGTCTGCACACATGTGCACACACATATACAATACTACTGTACAGGTAAAAGAAATAATTGTCCTTAGGGCAAACACATAAAGGGAATACACATTTCTTTGCACACAAGTAAAAATGTAACCCCCCTCCCCCCGATCCGCAAGTGTCATTCGCGGATTTGGCAATTTGCGGCCATCTTGAGAACCTAACCCCCGCCAATTTGGGGGGCTCCCCTGTATTTATTGTCTTAAATATTTCAGTGCATAAGTCACTGCATTAGAAAGTACTTAAACAATTTTGCATTTATTTTTGGTGCTTTTCCTGCATTTTATTTAATGACCTAAATTATTTTTTTTTTGCACTCCAATCAGAAGTGTATGTACTTATATTTAATGTACTTTGTTAGTGATATTGATTACCAAGAACGTTATACAAAAGGTACGAGTTTGTATGGTGCTGTGGTTGCCATAGTACTGTATTATGTTGGTCAAGTTGTATGGTCAATTTAAGAGACAGTATCTAAGATCAAAAGGTTCTATGTATATAATAACTTAATCAACTTGGGATTATGGCAAGAAATAATTGACATGTACAATCACTGCAAAAAGTATCTGAAAATTTTTTGCTGGACAATATGACACAACAGATGTAGGATTTGACAAACGTACCGAGACAATGGGAGCCGTAGTGTTCATTTTGGCACCCATCGGACCCCACCTTGCAAATACTTTCTGTAGCGAGTATACAACCTGGAATAACTTGTAGATCTGTAAATATAAGATATTAATTTTTTGTGAGTTTATATATAATTATTCATAAGCCAATTATAATAAAATATTTGACATAAGTATATTTCTGGTTTCGTGTGAGTATTATTATTAGAAACAAATGATAGGCGATTGAAATGTATCTCTGTTTGTTAGTAAGATTATTCAAATTTAGTTAATAAATAGAATGGCAGCAATACAAACATCTCCGTCAATGCTTGTTTTCATTGTATTATTTGTGACATTATTTTATAACTACCTATACCCCTGTAGTTTTTAACAAAATAATATTTTATATCATGAAAATTTGGACTTTGTGGTTATCAGCCAGTAATGGTTTTTGCAAAATTGTCTGCATTCACAATGTATTTATTTATTTACACTCAAAATGTATGTGTTATCTGAACAGAGAACATCCTATGTTTTGTTCACAACATTATTCTAAGTTCTGAAAGAAAGTTATAGTGAGAGTAATATAATTATATAAGACTACAGTAAAGTCTGGATTTACGCGGATTTCCTTTACGTGTTTGGTCATTTACGCGGCACCTGGCCAGACCGGCAAGCTAAAGTTTGCATTAGACATACAAATTTTAGATCTAATTTAAGAATTTTAATAGAGAGAGGAAAAATTTTATCTTTTGTGCAAAATATATGACGTTTATATTCAAATTATTCGCTGTCTTGCAAAGAATCCAGCAATGTAAATTATATTCTCCTAACTATAGTCTGAGGTATTATTTATTACTAAACCTAAATGCCTAGTCTTTTTCCCCAAACATTTCTCAGGAAGGTGGTGGGTAGGGAGGGAGCCAGCGAGCGTGGGAAGAGGGGGGGAGCGGGAGTTGAGTCCATTATTTGAACGGACATTAACTGGCGACTGTATTTCTCTTAAATATTAATTGTGTGCATACCATCATAAAATTAAGATGTTATTTTTACTACAACGTACGTATTGGGTCGGAAAAAGGGTAGTCTGGGGTCGGCCTAGTCTCTATTTCAATTAATCCCATAAGTTCTGTTATTTCGTTTACTCGGACCTCCACGGGTTCAATTGACCGTGTAAATCCAGACTATACTGTATAAGACTGGTGCATTTTTAGACAAATACTGGCTCTCAAGTTATGATATGGAAGGTGCATACACTTCTTTGAAAATACAGTAGCACTACTGCAGGTACTCGTATGACACAACGAGCATGTAACACTGCAGCCCTGCAAACTTAATACAAGTGATATTAACAGTATAAAGTACATGGTTGATATTGTTTAAGCCATTTTATTTTTTTAATATGATTATCTTTATGTTTTTATCTTATAAAAATGTATTTATATTACTATTTGATAGTAGCTTCCAGGTATTTGGGACTGGTTTTATTGTTTGCTTTTGAGAGGTACAGGTATAGTACATTATTGAACTTTTTTTATAGTTTGTGCCATTAGCATGTTCTGTTTATCAGTGTTTTCGTGTCCTTTTAAACCATTTGTGATTTATACCTATTTAGGATTTGATATTATTAAATTGAAAAAAAAAAAAAAAATATAATATATATATATATATATATATATATATATATATATATATATATATATATATATATATATATATATATATATATATATATATATATATATATATATATATACACATTATATATATATATATATATATATATATATATATATATATATATATATATATATATATATATATATATATATATATATATATATATATATATATATATATAAGCAATCCAGAAAAGTAAGAATACATTAATACAGTACTGTATTTTTATTTTAGTTCTGGTGTGATTATTGCACATGTATTAAGTTTCGTTATGGTTTTCATAAATTTTATGCAACTTCTATACAAGTAATATGTATGTTGACTATTAGTAGAACTCTTGTAAGCCAAAGATGAGGTTGACTGCCTTCATTATTAAAGTTATGGTCTGAAGTATATCTATTTTATTCTCTAGTGTATATTAACAAAGTATAGAATTCTGTACTGTATATATAAAAATATGGTTACCCTTCATATTTGAGGATGGCCAACCATATGGCCACCTAGGTGTGAATTTTTTAAGGTGTAGAATCTGTTGCCAACACAACAACCACATCCAAAGTAAATGAGCTGTACCCAGTGTCAAGGAATAATACAAGAAGACCGGACAACTCGCCAACTGTACAGCCTAACCATTATTCCAGAACATGTTCAGTAAATCGGTTAACATTCAGGTTCCCAATTACTGCTGGATATACAAAGGAAAATTGTGCAAAGAAATTTGCCAATAGATTCACCTGGAGTCCCTCTTTACTGTACTAAGAATAGCGACATGGAGAGTCCCAGAAAGTGACATCACGTGATCACTGGGCGACATTTTGTTTCAACCTGCATGCAGTGAGGCTGCCTGATACTACATCAGTTACTATCTGACCATTGCTTTGGGTGGATGGCTTACCCCTTACAGGATTTTTGGCCAAAAATACTTTTTCTCTCAGAACTAAAATTTCATGTGCCTATAGGTATAGGTACTCCTGAATATGCTGCTTAAGGATCTGTTAACCAAAATTTGATATCTGGATTATTACTTGTTCAAATGGCTTTTAAAATTTTTTAATTATTTTTGCAATGCTAATTGCTCGCCATTTTGGGTTTTCAAGGTCATTTCTTGGTGCTTGTGTATTATTCTGGGTGTACTTAAGTAGTTAGGCACATTAAATTTTAGTTCTGAGAGAAAAGGTGTTTTTGGACAAAAATCCTTTAAGGCATAAGACTTACAATTTTTGTCACTTTTGGCCAAAAAATTGATTTTGTTCAAAAGTTCAGTATAGGTACTCCTGAACATGCTGCTTAAGGATCTGTTAACCAAAATTTGATAATATTACTTATTCAAATGGCTTGCAAAATTAATTAAAATTTTCTAAAAGCCATTTGAACAAGTAATAATCCAGATATCAAATTTTGGTTAACAGATCGTTAAGCAGCATATTCAGGAGTACCTATACTGAGATTTTGAACACAATCAATTTTTTGGCCAAAAATCCTGTAAGGCATAAGACTTACAATTTTTGTCATTTTCGGCCAATGCTAAAATAGATAATAACGGTGTATTGAAAGTTTATCTACTGATTACTGTAGGACTGAGGGAAGGACATGCAGTATTGTGTAGTATTGAGGGAAGGACTTGTAGTGTTGTGTAGGACCTAGGGAAGGACATGTAGTGATGTTCGTAAATGAGGGAAGGACGTGCTGACCTAATGAATGAGAGGAGGACTTACTGACCTGCTGATTAGTGAGAGGAGTACTTACTTACCTGCTAATTAGTGAGAGGAGGATTATTGACCTACTAAGGAGTGAGAGGAGGATTTATTGACCTACTAAGGAGTGAGAGGAGGATTTACGGACCTACTAAGGAGTGAGAGGAGGACTTACTGACCTACTAAGGAGTAAGAGGAGGACTTACTGACCTACTAAGAAGTGAGAGGAGGACTTACTGACCTACTAAGAAGTGAGAGGAGGACTTA